CACAGGGGTCTATGTGGATGTATCCGCTCACACACGCTGCCCTCCTGGAGGCTGGAGACAGACCTGGCTGCTGTTCTGAGATCTGCTGCGCTGGATAGCCTTGGGAAGTGTAAATGACTTTGCTCATCTAGTGCTCCTTCAGCCCAGCCCAGTATAAGGAAGGAGGCTCCAGGGGAGTCGAGTGCATGATTCCTACCAATGAATGGATCTGGCTGATTTCCCTTCTGCAACGTCCATGCTCAGATGTGAGTGAAGGGTTGCAGAAGTGTTTGCACTGGTTGCTCTGTTCTCAGGGTATGTCTACACTGGGAGCAGGAGGTGTAATTTCCAGCTTGAGGAGACGTCCCTGGGCTAGCTGTGATGGAGCTGATACACTAACACTAGAAGTGTAGGGGAGACAAGGCCATTCCAACAGGAGCAGAGACATTCAGTACTAACAGGAAGGGGGTCTTGGGGAGGCTGAACAGCCCCTCCCCCCAGTCCAAGATGAGGAGACAGGTAGCACAGACCATGAAGCTGTGCGTCCCCTGACAGACTTACTGCAAATCCCTCTGCCAGCACCGAACCCCTGTGTGGGGCACACATGCCCAGCCTGGTCATGGCCACAGCACTTTGGGAGATGCTGGACCCTTCCCTTCTGCTACACCCCAGCGCTTTGTGAGTGACCGCGTCCCCTACCTGCCACTGTCATCCAGCCAGTAATAACAGGGATGTACCTGACAGAACTAGTTTGCACCAGGGCTCCCCTGGAGTTGACCTTGACCAGCTAAATCGAGGCAAACGCTGCATGTGCACCAGGAAGAGGACTGGGGCTAGCCAGCATGTTAGCTCACGCTGACACCCCACCCCACCCGCCTTCCGTAGCCTAGAAAAACCAACAGAAGTGAACTCAAAGCAAAACTGCTCAGCAGCCCCATGCCCTGCTCCCTCCAGTGTTCCCTGTGCGCGTGGCCCTGCCCCTCCTGCCCTGGTGTTCATCTTTCCTGCTCATGCCCAAGGAGCACAGCGATGGCTGCAGGAAGCCTTGGTGAGAGCGTGGCTCCGGCTCCAGCTCCCTGCGGGTTACGCAGCCTCTCTGCGCTATTCACCCAGCTGTGAAACAAGCCCATTACAAAGCCACTCTGCCCTGAGAAGCGGCTGTAACAAAGGGTGTTGTGGGGCTCTGAATGATTCTGTATCATGTGAAGGAAGAAGCGGTTTCTTCCACCAGCCCTGCATCCTGCCCCAGGGTCTGAGAGCCAGGCAGGGCTCTTCCCCCTTCTGCAGCCTTGCTAGTAACACAGGTGCTGCAGGGCAGGTCAGGAGCACAGCGCCCCTGTGCAGCCCATTAGCCTCCAGCGGCTCCCTCAGTGCATCTCCTTACCCTGCACGGGGCTGCACAATCGGGAGCAGCTGGGCTGGGTGCTCAGAGAGGCATCTCTAATGCTCATCAAGAGCCTAGTGCAAAGCATGGTAGAAGGGCAGCGTTCATGCTGGGCCCAATCCTGGGAGGTGTCGAGCACCCTGAAGTCACTGAGAGCAGGGGTGCCTTGTGCTTGGCAGGATCAGGCCCACTAGCTGTCCTTCCACAGAGGCAGGAAACCCTCGTTAGCTCACAGTCAGAGAGGCCCCTGCCCTGCCTGTCTTGGCCCCGGACTGGAGCCCTTGTCTGATACTCAGCTGGGTCTTCCCTTTATTTTCAGTGGCAAATTCGGCCTGTGGCTGGACGGGGACCTGTACCACGGGGGAAGTCACCGATGTGAGACATTTGACAACGAAATCCTGTCGCCCCAGGAGCAATTCTTCATTCGGGACCTGGAGGTTTGGGCCTTGACCTGAGCCCACCACACCGGGGGCCGTGGGAACCGACTGCTTTCGAATGGACTCTGGCTGGGCCTGGCAGCTGTTCCCAGCAGTGTCTGGAACCCTTCCCGAGGGTGGTGCTCAGCCCTCTTCCCCTTACGCACAGGGCTTTGCCAGCCTGTGCTCCTCTCCCCTCCCCGGCCCGCACTCATGCTCCAGCGAGGGCAGCAGGGACGTTCCCACCCATTTTCCCGTTAGTGCGCTCGCCGGGGGGGATCAGAGCAGCCCCAGTGGGTGGCTCCCACAAGCGCTGGATTTCAATGCAAACGGAATCTCACAGGCAACTGGGCGATTTAAAAATAAAATTCCCATGTGAAGTGACTGAGTGTTAGCAGCAGGGGAGCTGCCTGCTGGGACATGCTCTGCCAGTCAGTGCCATGAACTTGGGAAGTGAGCTCAGCCATTGTTCAGTGAGTGAGGCAACCCCCCCTTCAAGGCAGAGAGAACAGGGGCAGCATGAGGGTATTGACATGGGCTTGCTGGGCACTGCCAGCATTTAGAGCTCCATGAGATGTGAGGGCCAGGGCCATGGCCCCTCCCCTGTCCCTGCTCTCAGAGAAGCTTATTGAAGTTAGGCCAAGACCAGTATCGGTGGTGCCTGAAAAGCTACACGAAAGGGGCACAAGGAACGCACGTTTTTCTGTTGCTTGTAAGGAGATGGGCCTGAATCAAAGCCCCGATCCCAGCACCCCAAGTTGCAGGAGAGCTCAGGTCCAAACTCTGCCACTGCCTCCTGTCCCTGTAACAGGCCAAAACAAATCCCACAGCAAAATCCCTCCCGACTCCTCCTCCCATGAAGTCATGGGGCAGTGCAGGGCCTGAGCAGAACATGGTTGCTCAGACCCAGCCTAAAGGCTGGCATCAATGCCCGGAGACTGCCACTGTGGACCCAGAGAGCCTGCAGCACTGATGAGCTGTTGGCTTGATATGGCATCAGACTTCTCACCACAGCCGGGGTGACTCGGAGCTAGCTGGAAACGGCAGCACTGCTTCCAGCCAGCTGTCTCTGAGCTGTGAACTCTGTTCAGACTCTGGAGGCTTAAAGCACATGGGATTCAGCATTTGGATCCCCTCACAGCAAGCTGAACCCCAAGAGATGAGGAGTTGGTGGCTGTCATGGACGTAGTCTATCAAGGACTGTGTGGCTCCACATATTCAAATACCAGAGTTGCTTTTAAAACTTGAAGAAATAGGCAGAAGAATCCAAATCAAACCCTCTGGGATCAGAGCAAGGGAAGCACAGAGAGGTTTACTGGGCAATGAAATGCAACACCAAGGGAATGTGATGAGGCCCCATTACTGGATACATTCAACACTCTCAAAAGGAGCTTTAGTACTTATGTAAAACCCTTGGCAGATTCCCAGTCCCTTTCTTATCTGCCTATTAGCATCCCTTCCCCTCCAGTCTTCAAATGCAATCTTCATGTCTATAGGCCAAACATAACGTTCTCTACCAGTAGCATATGATGGTAAAGCGTTGCTGGTTATCTCCCCTGCATTTATATCTTTACTTATTACTGCCTTACAATAGCTGAGAATTTGATGTCACTTTGAGCCATCATGACATTGTGACAGCATTTCAGTAACATCATGCTAGGCTCAGGTCTGCCACCTGGCTGCTCTGGGAACCTGCCACATGTCTCAGCACATGACACTGCTTCCTTGGCCTTCTGCTTAGCCTGAATCCTTATTACCCTTCATGGTGCCTTAAACCTGAATTTGACTCCAATCCAAAATTATTCCTGCTCTATTATAGGGACTGGGAATAGAGCCAATGCCTCTCGTCCAGCATGAAGATCTTCCAAAGCTAAAGGGGCCTCATAGCAAATTGATGGAAAAAGTCATTCAAAATTGGGCTCCCTTATCTAACAGACTTGCTTTAGCTATGAACTCTGTCCTTTTAAGAATGCATTTGGCAATTTTCATTTTAACTGTGCATTAACTGTAGTATTGATTTTAATACAAACAATCCACGCTGCAATTCCATTAAAAAAGTTGTATTAAAATATTTGTATACATTCTTTTTAAGTCAACTCAGGCTCAGTCAATTTGAACCGTTAAAAAAAAATAAAAATGATCCAGTTCACAGATAAAGTTTCACCTTTCAAAAGCAAAGAGCACGGTTCTCTCAAGCAAAAGATTTTCTACAGAACACCTTTTCAAATAGTTTCAAATAAGCAAATACGTTGAAGTTATAGCTGTGAAATGAATACATTATTCTGTATGTAATGTTTCAAGCTGCCTTGAATCACAGGGTTTTAACACAATTGTTTCACTCTTTCAGTTTGATGAAGTCAAGTACAAAAGGCTTATTCCAGAACTGTTAGAGATATGCTTCCCAAGTCAGTGAAGATTTCTGACAACAGCCATTTCATACACCTGTAGATCTGAATCACTGGTACTGCACTGAAAAGGGGGTTTGTACAACACCCCCCTCTGGTGAACACATGGGCTTGTGCATATTAAGAGAACAGCAGACCAGAAGAATTATGGCATAATCAATTCCCTTGCCTCCATCTGGTGATTATCAGATGCCATCTCTAGAAGGGACAGTTTAATTAATCTCAGGTAACAAAACTGGACTCTCAATGAAGACTTCTTATGTCACTGATTTTGTATTCAGACCCACTAGTGACTAACATCTGACTTCTAAAGTCAAAGATTCAGAAAAAGAGGTCATGTTTGTTTTCTTCATGTTTCAGGTACTACTTTAAAAAAAGGACACAAGCAACTTAAAAATCCCATTTCTGTATGAAGATTTTTTTTACTTAATTTGTTTGGAAGGGATCTCTAAGTGAAAGATTGGAGGAAAAATCTGCCTAGTTTGTTTGCCCTTTGTATTGGACGGCCATTTGTCAGTAGTCAAATGTGGTTCCCACCCCATTTGTGCTGTATGAAAAGAACCAGGGGAAAGAACATTTAAATGGCAGGAAAAAGAGATTGTAAAGCCACAAAAACACAATCTAAAAAACTGTGTTAAAAAAAAAAAAAGCCACACCTCACTGACGCACTTTTCACTTCAGTACGGCTTAAGAAATCTGAGCTATAGGCTTTGCTCTGTCAGAACATGTGACATCACAATTATCTTAAAAGAAAGGGATCTGAAACAGGGGACATAGTACAGATCTTTCAAAAAAAATTTTCTCTTTTATCTATGTCATTTGCCCCAGTAAAGGGAACTGGGCACTTGCTGCTCACATTTCTCTGATTTTAGGGAAGTCAAAATTGTGCTGAAGTGCAATGCTAGCTACACTACAACAACGGTAAAATACTGATTTCCTTTGGGAATTTTATGGAAGTTTGGGGTATTTCAAAAGCCTTCATTTTTAAAGGAACTCTTGCTACACAGCCCCCATACATTCAAGTCAAACACAGTGTTTGCTCTGCTGCAAGTAATCACTGATCACATATAAAATTCCCCTTTGAATGTCAATGCTCGCAGGGCTTTTAAATCGCTATGTTACGTACAGGAAACATACAGCAACCTAAAAAATGCATTCTTGTAAACTTGTTCTGTAAAGCTCTTCAAGTAGGTTTTATACAATGTGCTGTTCCCTTTCAAGTATCTTTTAAAGGGATAGAAGGGACAGCGCAAAACTGTTACTGGAAAGGCTTTAAATATTGCAAATAAACTCCATTTAACAAATCAGTTATTGAAAGAGTCTGGTTCTGGATTTTGAAGCTTCCCTGCGATCATTTGGACTTTGCAGTTCATCCTCATCAGGGTCATTCCAGCTTGCTTTCATTGGAGTTAGTTCAGGGGCGACCACATCACCATCCTAGAAAGTCATTGAAAGGAAGTTGAGAAAAAGTTGCCGAGTTTTACAAGCATATTCTTACTTTATTTGTCTTACTGTAGGAACCAGGACTAGTTGGTGCTAGGTGCTGTACAAACAGAACAAAACAAGCAGCTCAATTTTAGACTTATGACTAGCAAGGATGAGAACTGAGCCATAAAAGGGTCATTACCAATGACTGAGCACTTTGTAGGTGAGAACTCTGTATAAACGTACCCAAGTTGTTCAGCTGGTTCCCAAAGCTTAGTCACCAAAAATCCAGGAAGTAGGTGAGCCAGAAAATACTTAGTGTATTATCACACACAGTGAGCCCAAAGAGGCTAACACTTGTGGCACCTTAGAGACTAAGGGTACGTCTACACTACCCGCCGGATTGGCGGGTAGTGATCAATCTATCAGGGATCGATTTATCGTGTCTCGAGTAGATGCGACAAAATCGATCCCGGATTGCTCTGCTGTCGACTCCGGAACTCCACCACGGCGAGAGGCGGAGGCAGAGTCGACGGGGAGCGGCAGCGGTCGACTAGCCGCCGTCCTCATGGCAAGGTAAATCGACCTAAGATACGCCGACATCAGCTACGCCATTCGCGTAGCTGAAGTTGCGTATCTTAGGTTGACCCTCCCCTCCCTAGTGTAGACCTAGCCTAACAAATCTATTTGGGCATAAGCTTTCGTGGGCTAAAACCCAAATAAATTTGTTAGTCTCTAAGGTGCCACAAGTTCTCCTTGTTCTTTTTGCTGATACAGACTAACACGGTTACCACTCTGAAGAGTGAGCCCAGTAACCATCCCACTGTCCATCTGAAATTCAACTGTCCAACACTGCCACAACAAAGTGCTGAGGACCCGTGGCATACCTGTGGCATGGATTACCCACATTCAGTTTTACAGACTTGGCCATGTTTCACGTGTTAAGACACATTACTATGGTGAAATGAACTGGTGTGGTGGTTGTAAAGTTGGTTGCATGATGAAATTGATATTACATAGGGATGTTAATAGAAACAGGGAAAGCTTTTTACCAATCTCACGTGCAAAGCACACTGGAGAAATTAACTCTGTTTTGCTCTCAGAACCCAGAACTGTTACAAAAGGATGAGCCCTAAGGTGACTCACATGCCCATGGTTGCAGATCATGCCTGTTGAAACCATACTGCAGTGGTTGGATTTCCGGAGGTATTGAGCGACCGCCGAGATTAGCTGTGGGTACTCAGCACCCCTGGAAAACAAGCCTTGGGGCCTAGCACACTAGTTTTAAAAATGCGCAATACAAGGTATTATGCTTTGTCACACTGAAGGGATTTAAAGCTCTACATTTTTTTATTAAAGGACATGAAACTGATTTGTGATGTGAACACGTTTCTCTCAGAGCTCCTCCAGACTACATTTCATGCAGGGAAAGGTATCTGAGAAAACATCTAGACCTGAAAGAGCAGATACAGAAAGAGGGGCAGTTTAATACTAAATACAGATGAATTATTAGCATTCAAAACCAACTGCTAAGAGAAAACCTTTAATTGCTGGAAAAAGACATCTTATCACACTGTCCGCACCCAACTTGATGGACAAGTCACACCTACTAAGGCTTACTCCAGAAAACTAGAGGTTCAATGCAACGATTTGTATATTTAATAAATGTGAAATACCTAATTTACATTCTCATTTTATTTATAATGGCAAAAATCTCATTTGCTTCCATCATATTAACTGCTCTGCTATAGTGATGGACATAAATAATTTTATCAGCTGAAACAAACAAGTTTAGTGGGAGAAATGATAGAGGAGGGGTAGGCCAGGGGCAGCGATGCTGTCTCAGCCATACCACAGAAATGCCAAGTTAGCTCCATTGATATTACAGGTGCTGCCCCGGCAGGAGTCCGAGGTTCCTATTTCCTTCAGGATCACGTTCCGTCTCTCTCAGGGACTGTTTTTGACCAGCTGGCTCAACATCCCCAAGAGCTGGGACCACAGAGGTGGCTCTGACCCTGCCCCCATTGCAAAAGCCAAAACTCCATAAAGGAGCTACAGTGGGTTCCATCCTCATCATGGCCTGTGGTATCTATGCTCTGGGGTCTGACAGGCAGCAGGGGCAACAGGCTCTACCCACACACAGCAGCAGGGACCTTCGAAACCAGGAATGTTTGGGGGGTCTCTACCCTCTTCCTGTTCAAGTTGCCTTGTTTCCCCAGGAGATTGGGGCCCCTGAACAGGAGTCCATAAAAGATCATCAAAAAAACCCCACAAATTAAATTCTCCTGGGGAAACAGGAAGCTTTAGAGGCCTGGGACAAGCAGGAGGAACTGGTCTGAGTGATTCCTTAAAGAGATGCCATTGAGCCAAACCGTGGTGGTTTAGGGCTGGTCTACAAACAAAACTTGCACCAGTTACCAAAACCGATGCAAACCCCTTGGGTGGATGCGCTTATTTCAGGACAAAAGTGTCTCACTTCAGTTCAGTTTAAACCTGTTCCCAATCAGCTTATGATAAAAGCTACCCTTAAACTGAAATAAGAGTGTCCACACGGGTTTGCATTGGTTTAAGTTCACTGCTTTGGTTAGAACATGCAGCATTCCTGTGTAGACATGGCCTTACAAGTAAAAATCCCTAACAATGCACAGATTTTGAAGGTCCCAAATCCATGTGCCAAGGTGAGACGCTCCAGGAGTAGGGATTATTTGGGGCAAGTTCTCTGGCCTGTGTTGTACAGGAGGTCAGACTAGATGATCACAATGGTCCCTTTTGGCCTGGGAATGGATGAATCTGTGTGTAGGGGTATTTATGAAGTAGGACGTTACCTGTGGTTTTGTAAAATCCATGTTCATACACCACTGAATAAAACACTTTGTTGCAGCATCTAAACTCTTCTCATCCTTTTTCTTGCAATAAACCCGGATCAGCTGCTCTGCAAATGTCTCTGGCAGAAGCCTGGAAACCTTTTGAATAGAGGAAAAGAAATTGTACTGTGTTTCTTGGAATCTAGAGCCAACCGATCAATGAACTTCAAAATATTTCCAAATATAGGTAGAAAAATGTAACTTCTCATTATAAAGCATAATGCGTACCACAAAGTTAGGGAGTTTGACTGGAAAAATTAGTCAATCTGAAGATAATGAGGAATGGATTTTGGATGGACTGTGTTAAATACTAAGATTCTGAATGCTGGTAAAACTGTACCCCACCACCACGTTATTGCACAGACGTGCTTCCACAACCTGTTATATGAAAATTTCCTTCAGAAGCATGTTTGGTAAGGCCTTTGGCAAAGCGATAGCTACCTGTTCTTTCGAAATCTTGACTGCCTGGCTCGGGTCAGACTTGCAATAGAAGCGAACTTTATCGATAGGGTTCTGTTCTTTCATTCCATAGTCCATATTGATAACCTTAATGGAGACAATTCAGAAATGGATACAGATGAACAAAAAAATGGTTATCCACCTTTTTTGTAACTGTTGTTCTTCGAGATGTTGCTCCATTCCATTCTAGGTGTGCGTGCACCCACATGCGCGGTCAGAGATTTTTGCCGTAGCAGTATCCGTAGCGCCAGCTGTGGTGCCCCCTTGAGTGCTGTGCTCATGCATCGGTATATCAGGAGCCGTTTGCCTTACGTCCTCTCAGTTCCTTCTTGCCAGCAACTCTGACAGAGGGGCAGGAGGGCGGGGAATGGAATGGACATGAGCAACACATCTCGAAAAAAAACACTTGAAGAAAAAATGGTGCCCACCTCTTTTGTTTCGAGTGCTTGCTCATGTCGATTCCATTCTAGGTGACTCACAAGCAGTATCAATGGAAGTGGGCTCAGAGTTCACCGTCTTGCAGGTTGCAGCACTGCTCTGCCAAAGCCAGCGTTGTCTCGAGCTTGCTGGGTAAGCGCATGAGATGCGAGCACGTGGACAGACGACCAGGTAGCGGCTCTACACATCTCTTGGATTGGTACCTGTGCTAGGAAGGCCACTGATGACACTTGTGCCCTAGTCGAGTGTGGCGCTATGATCGCAGGCACTTTCGCCAGCTCGTAACAGTAGCGGATGCTGGCCATGATACAGGACGAAATCCTCTGAGCAGACACTGGGCAACCCTTCATTCTGTCCGCCACCGCAACGAACAACTGCGTTGACTTACGGAACAGCTTTGTTCTATCTATGTTGAAGGCCAGCGTCCTTCTGATGTCCAGGGTGTGTAGCCTGCGCTCCTCATCAGACATATGAGGCTTTGGAATGAAGACAGGTAAATATATGTCCTGGCTAGTATGAAACTGGGAAACGACCTTGGGCAGAAACACTGGGTGCAGTCACAGCTGGACCATATCCTTGTAGAAGACCGTATAGGGCGGCTCCAAAATAAGTGCCCTGATCTCGCACACCCTGTGGGCCGACGTTATCGCAACCAGGAACAAGACCTTCCACGAGAGAAGCAGGAAGCCAGAGTCTGAAAGAGAGACCCCATGAGCCTCAACAGCATGAGATTTGGGTCCTGGGTGGGGGACCATGCCGAACAGAGGATGGAACAGAGGATGGAAAGCCGAGATATCAGCCAGGTGGACCTTGATCGATGACAGGGACAAGCCTTGGAGTTTGAGGTGCAGCAGATAATCCAGTGTCTCCTGCAGCGGGGCCTGCTCGGCCCAAATATGCCATTCCGAGGCCCAGCATATGAATCTTTTCCATTTGGCCAGATAAGTCGCTCTGGTGGAGGGTTTCCTGCTACCCAGCAAGACCTCCTGGACACAGCCCAAGCATGGCTGTTTGTTCATGCTTAGCCATGCAGCAGCCAAGCCGTCAAGTGTAGTGCCGCCAGGTTCGGCTGCAAAAGGCTGCTGTGGTTCTGTGACAGCAGGTCCGGCCAGAGGGACGGCTACTGAAAGGTTCAGCAGCATGCCGAACCAGTGATGGCGAGGCCACGTGAGGGCTATTAGGAGAATTCTCGCCCTGTCTTGCTTGATCTTCATAAGGACCCTGTGACTCAATGGCACTGGCGGGAAGGCATACATCAGCGCCCCCAACCATGGGATGAGAAAGGCATCCGACAGGGAGCCCCTTTCCATTCCCCGGATCGAACAGAACACGTGGCATTTTCTGTTCTGCCTGGAAGCGAGCAGGTGTGCCTGGGGAGTCCCCCACCTCTGGAAGATTATGCTGATCACCTCCGGATGGAGTGACCACTTGTGGCGAGATGAGAAAGTCCTGCTGAGGTGATCCCCCCAGGACGTTCCTGGTTCCAGGCAGGTGCGCGGCTACCAGATGAATGGCATGCCACACATAAAAGTCCCAAGAGCAGAGAGCTTCTTGACAAAGGGCTGAAGACCTGGCACTGCCCTGCCTGTTGATGTAATACATTGCGGCGGTATTGTCCGTCAGGACCTGCATGCATCACCTTGCTCCTCAGGTGGGGCAAGAAAGCCTGGCAGGCCAGGCGAACCGCTCTGAGCTCCCTAATGTTGGGGCCAGATCGTCCCACACCCATCAGCCCAGGGAGCTCAGCTCGCCCAGGTGGGCTCCCCAGCCCAGGTCTGAAGCATCAGAAACCAGGCTCAGCGACGGGGTCGCAAAGGGGACTCCCAACACCGACCTGAGGTCCAACCACCAATTCAGGGACGACCTGATGTAGTCCAGCACCCAGACTATCCAGTTCAGGTTGTGCCTGTTGGGAATATAGACGGATGCCAGCCACACTTGCAGGGGCCGAAGATGAAGTCGAGCATGGCTGACCACGTATGTACATGCGGCCATGTGGCCCAACAGCCGCAGGAAGGTATGAACCATGGTGAGCAGGTGGTTCTTTACATGGGAGATCAGGTCCGTTCGACATGGCCTGAAAACGCGCTCCTGGAAGGCAGGCTCTGGCTCGCATGGAGTTGAGAACCACCCCAATGAACTCTACTCGCTGGACGGGCGTTAAAATGGATTTTTTCTTGTTTATTAACAGGCCCGGGTCGCGGCAGGTGGAACACACCAGATTAAGGCTCCTCTGCACTTGCTCACGAGATGGGCCCTTGATGAACCAGTGGTTGAGACACAGGAATACCTGGACCCCTCGACCTCTCAGGTAAGCAGCCACTGGCGCCATACGTTTTGTGAACACCCTTGGGGCTGATTAGAGGCCAAAGGCTAGTGCTGTGAATTGAAAATGGCGTCCGCCCACTATGAAACTGAGGAGGCGCCTGTGAACTGGGAATATGGAAATAAGCGTCCTTTAAATCGAGGGCAGCGTACCAGTCTCCCAGATCCGCGGAGGGGATGATGGAGGCCAGGGAGACCATATGAAACTTCAGCTTTTTGAGAGACTTGTTGAGGCGACGCAGGTCCAAGATGGATCTGAGGCCCCCTTTTGCCTTGGGGATTAATAAGTAGCGGGAGTAGAACCCTTTTCCTTTCATGTCCTGAGAGACCTCCTCCACCGCCCCCAGGCGCAGGAGGTTCTCAACCTCTTGAACAAGGAGTTGCTCGTGGGAAGGGTCCCTGAAGAGGGTTGGGGGAAGAGTGGGGGTGGGAGGGAGGGGCGGCCGAAAATTGCAGGGTATAGCCCCGAGATACTATGTCCAGCACCCAGCGGTCCGAGATGACTCACGACAAGACCGAACGGTAGGGACGAAGACAGTGGAGGAAAGAACAAGGTGGATCTGGAAAACTGACCAGGGCATCACTCTCAAGAGCACCTTCAAAACAAGCGCTTCTGACCCCTGGGCTGTTTTGCCGGGCCGGGCTGCGCAGTAGGAGGAGGAAGGGCAGCGAGGGCTAAAACTTGTGTCTCTATCCCTTCTCCTTGCAGACCCATCGAGGCTGCCAAGGCCTTGGTGGCAGGGGCGGCTGGAACTGCTTCTGTGAAGACTGCGGCATATGTATGACCAGTGAGCGAAGGATGGCCCGAGTGTCCTTTAACCCATGCAGCCTCGCATGCGTCTATTCGGAGAAGAGACCGTTCCCAGCGAACGGGAGGACCTAAATCGTGGGCTGCATCTCTAGGGAAAGACTGGCGGTTTGAAGCCAGGAGCTGCACCTCATAACCACTGCCGCCGCGACCACCCTAACTGCTGAGTCTGCTGCATCCCAGACCATTTGGAGGGAGCACGTAGCTGCCGCCATGCCCTCCTGTACCAGGGTTCTGAATCTTGAGCCAAACCCTGCAGGAGGGACTCCTTGAACTTACAGAGGGAGTCCCATAAGTTAAAATTGTATCTGCCCAAGAGGGCCTGATGGTTCGCCACCCGGAATTGCAGTCTGGCAGTGGAATACATTTTTCTCCCAAAAAGGTCCAGTCTTTTGGCCTCTATTTTTGGTAGTTGAGCTGGTGTGCCCCTGCTTATCTTTTTCGTTGGCCGCAGAGACAACCAGCGAGCCCGGGTATAAAGGTACTCAAACCCTTTGGCTGGGACAAAGTACTTCTTTTCAACCCTTTTGGAGGTGGGAGAGATAGAAGACGGGGTTTGCCAGAGGCCTTGGCAATTTTGAGGACCCTGTCACATACTGGTCGGTGCTGCAAACTCTTGCTCCGAGGCAGCAGCAGATGAGCAGTGTGAAAGGGGCATCGTCATGACTGGCACGCTCCATGCGCTCCAATAAGGCCACTGTTGTGCTGGTCTCTGGCTATGCTGCCAATGTGGTGCCGATGTCGACATGGCCTCTCGTGCCCAATCGCGCTGGTGGAGTCTGGGCGAGGGGCTGAACTGCCCTTCCGTGCCAGAGGAATCCTCTTCCGGTGACCATGGTGGAGCCATTGATGCCTGCGTCTGCCTGCTGACCGTTGCCACCGGAGACCGGTGCCTGGAGTAAGGGGATTGGTGCCGATATCGAGGGGACTGGAGTTGTGACAGGGAGCGCTCCCATGGGACAGGCGACTGAGATCGGCAGCGAGAGGACAACCAGGGGAGGGCGAACGGTGCCGGTAGACTTGTGCCTCCCCTTAGGCAATCTGCATTGAGACGGCGGAGACCGCAATCACGGTGACCGAGGGCGAGCCTCAGAGGAGCCTGGCTACGACTCCAGAGATCTGGGGCGAGAGGAGGAGAACGCTGCCTTGTCTCGGGGAATTGGTGGCGCTCCACTGCCCCCTGAGGGGTCTTAGCGGCTGGCTTGCCTTCATAGGGAGCCTTCGCTGTTTCCTGCGGCACATGCGGTGCTGGCATGGGCGGACGTCTCTGCTCTCTTGGCGCCAGGGGAGCTTGGGAAGGCATTGATGCTGTCAGGAGTTTGGGTCCCCTATCGCTCCCGGGAGTTGGTGGTGGAACTTTTAAGTGGCTAAGGGCCCCAACCAGGGAGGCACATACATGTGGCTCCAGAGTTGCCGGGTGGCCAGAAGTGGGTCCTTTGCCGATGTCCCATGGCCCTTCTTGCCCAGTGCCAGGGAGCCATTCTTCTTTTTTTCTTTTTGGGCACCAGTGCTGGAGGTGCGCTGCGCACTGAGGCCGAGGTATTAGGTGAGTCTTGGCAGGAAGGCTCAGAAGCCAGGTGGAGAGCAGCCTCCATGAGGAGAGCCCGCAAACGAATATACTGCGCTGAGTCCTGGGTAGAAAATTTTTACAAATACGACACTTGTCCTTCACATGTGATTCGCCCAAGCACTTGAGGCAGCTGCTGTGGGGGTCACTTATAGGCATAGGCCTGTTATAGTCCACACAGGGCTTAAACTCCAGAGACTGGGGCACGCCCCGCCTGGGGTGAAGTCCCTGCTGGGACTCTAAATTCTAACTACACTTAACAACTACTTAACACTAACTACTATAAACAAACTATTTACAAGGCCCTACAGCTCGAAGTCAGAAGAGACAAAACCGCTAGCCCTTGCTATGCAAGGAAAGGCACTCCAACTAACCATCATGGGCGGTCAGAAGGAACTGAGAGGGCGTAGGGCTGGCCGCACCTGACATACCGACGCATGAACATGGCACTCAAGGGGGTGCCACAGCCGATCATACAGATACTGCTAAGGCAAAAATCTTCAACGACCGTGCAGATGGGCACGTGCACACCTAGAATGGAATCAACACGAGCAAGCACTCAAAGAATACAACATATTTTTGGGTAGCTTTCTAGACTTGAGATTACCAAGATTCTAACAAAACAGACACTATAATTATTAGTAGTTAGAAAATAGCAAGGATTATTCTAAAATATTTGGAGTTAACTACAATAGTTAATCTTTATGAAAAAACTAAAATTTGTCTCTATTGTTTCATGAAATTAGTTTCACCGATGTGATGAGCTTCAAGAAATTTGTATCACCTTAAAAGTGACCTGCAATCAGAGAGGCATCCAGCAAACAGAGTTGAGAGAAATCTAAAGTGATTTACAAATTACCTTTGCTTCAGATCTGTCTATATGTAGTGGTAGCCCTTAAATTTTAATTTTGCCTTGATAACTTGCCAGTGCTGCCACTAGAATATTTTTGGCAGTTGAACCAAGACAATTTTAACACACCGGTGCTTCCTCCATCCAGTACATATAATTTTCCTATTTGCTTTCCAGAATATCTGAATTAAGAAAACAGAATTTTTAGGGTGGAGAGGAATAGGCACAGAAGGCGAGAGGAGAGACCAAATCAATTTCAGCAGTGAAATACTCGCAGAGAAGCATTTCCCTTTTTCCAATGACTCAGATGTCAATTAAGACAATTTGAGGACAATGGGATTACATCAGTGTGCCGGAGGGCAGCAACTGGCTTGCAGAACCTTTAGTACTGGTGGGAATGCATAGAGCAGGAAGACTTCTGGTTGTAGGACTGGCCGTTACATGACACATTTTACGTGCAAACACAGTAAATAGGATATGGAAAAAACAAATGTTAAACCCTAATTTTTTTTTTTTTTTAAGCAAAGTTAACTTTTCCAAGTAGAGCTGCTCTGAAAGGGTCTTGACCAAGGTCACACTGCCTGTCTGCAGGAATAATGACTTATAGGAAGACATATTCCAGTCACAAAGATGTGGCTGGACATTGCACAACCCAAGGGATAAGGAATGCTTCAGTCTCTTTCTACTTGCAGATGTAATACTTCAGTTACATTGTCTTTGTTCCAGTCTTTGGTAGCAATCCATTTTCAAGGTCTAAATATTCCAGGAGGAAACTACTCTCCTCCCCCCCCCACACACACACACAACCACACCAAAGTGCAAGTCTGCCACCACAGGAGCAGAGCCAGCAATGGAACAGCTAAAAAAGTAACTAAATGTTTTCCTAACATTACTTTTCCATTGCCACAGGGATGTTACATGACGACAAACTGGAGAGTGAAATGGTCCATGCAATCCCTGAGAAGAGAGGTGTCCACGAGATAATCTTTTAACACATGATTCACATTATGAAAAAAATTGAGAACCCTTGATCTATAGGCTTCAGGAGTAACACATACAGGGAAACTGCTAGGCACCAGATACCAACTGCATACTCCACACAGGGATGGGAATGCACTGAGGGTTACCTTATGCCTTATAATGTCCCTGAATTGTGCAATTAGAGCATGAATGGGACACACTGCTTTCTTATTTTGAATATAAAGTGTACTCAGCTTTACGTGCAAACTTTTACATGGTACACTTGGCCCTTTGTGATACAGAAATGAAGACAGAGTATGTTTTACACTAAGTTTGCTATGAAAGGACACACTTACGTCAACTATAAAGTCTTCAGCATTCAATTCAACATCCTGAGGTGCATTCTTTGGTCTGGAAGCAACAATGTGAGCTGGCAGCATGTCATACTGATCCTGAGAAAGAGCAAACACTTAATTCTATTCAAGCACTTCCAGTTCCAGACCTGTGCAACTGAACCCATATATATGGAGAGAACGCTGTCATACAACCAGGCTGGTTGAGATAAGGCTAGATTACTTTACTACTTAAAATACCAGCATTTTTAATGTAAACAATTCACCTTTCAAAAGAAAAGTTCAAGTGAAGATTTTCACCTGCATTAATCGACCAGGACTACAGCTGAAGATTGGTCACGTGACCAGGTGAAGCTATACAGAAAGTGCCTCAGCAGAGGGAATAAAACCTGCACGAAAGACTATAACTTTGAGGTATGTACGTTTTCCATGATAATTGTGGGACTTTTAGCCAGAGATACAATCTACTATGTTGGTGGTTTTAGATGGGCCCATAGAGAGCCACAAAAATCTTTAGTGCCTAGGGCAATCTACTAGCTATCAAACAGAAAGAAGTTGACCTTGGGGGGCGGGGGAGGGGGCTACAGTGCCCTGAACATGTGCCTTTAAGCACATTATCCATGTTCCTATTAAACGGGTCAACTTCCTCAACTCCTCATTCTACACAGGAAAACAGACACACTCAATATTTCTTACAGAGTTTGTTTGCAATATTGACAATGGATACAAGTATGTATTCCATAACTGCTAGGAATCTGCCTGTTTCTGCTGCTATCAGGGCATCATCACACAATGAAGGCAAGAGCTGTTGAAGAGAGAGCTCTTACTTCCCAAACAAACTTAATTTAATACAAGAACTGTTAGATGTAGTTACCTATAACACTTTTTAAACAAGCGTCTCTAGGATGAAAGCCATCCTTTAAAAGTAAGACAATGGTTTGGAATTTGAATTTCTTTCCAACCAGATAAATTCTGACTTATGAACTATTATAGGTCGAGTTGATAGGAATGCCTATGATTAAAATTGCCCAACACATCCCACTATAAGACACTGTTTTCAGGAGTTTATAAAACTTTGCCAAACTAACCATTTGGGCTGAAATTCTCCCTGCCAGGTGTCTCCCTCAGACTGAATTTGTTTGGAAGGTTTCAGCAAAAAGGGTTCAGCTGTTACTGAGACTAGGGAAAAATGTCATTCCCCCTACGCCCTCCCCTTGCCCAGTTAAAAATTGTATAACCGTTTTGTTTGAGAAGCTCTTGCACCTCCAGCCTTTGAAGGAAGAGCATGAAATTGGGGAGGGTGGGTGGGTGGAGAGGGGACCGGGGGCGGGGCGGGGGGGGGGCGCGGAGGAAGGGGTGACGACTCTGGTGTCAAGGATAGGCCTTTTGCTGTTCCTGACCACAAACTGACCATAATTTGATCAAGTTATAAACCTCTGAAAAATCTCTTTGCCTGTGCTTAGTAGAGATTGGTTAGAGTTTGGCACCTAATTATATGAAGATTCTGTCTGTACTGAGCATGCTCCAGATCAGGGTTGCAGAGGCTAAGCAAGACTTGTTTGCAGTTGCTACTGCCAGTTGCTGGGGACTGTTGTGGGGCCAGGCATCAGAACTAAGAGCTGAGACTCTCTCCCCTGTGCTCTCAATGCTTCCACTGCTGGCACCCAGGCAGTGAGGAGGTAGAAACTGCCTGACTGGAATGCAGAAAAGACAAAGCATTGACCTGGGCATGGCAATGGAGGGGTTTTACTGGTACTGGGAGCTGGCAAAGTTGTAGGGGCAGACAAGGAGACTGGGACAGGCTAGGCAAGAAAACTGGGACAAGCAGCTGAGGGGTGGAAATTAGTAATTCTGTCTTCATGGCAAGGTTTGAATTGTGTGCAATAAATAAGGCCTAGAAACCACACACTGATGGATGAGAAAACAAAATGTTAAATAATGTCTCATTTAGTGAGCATCGTCCATTCTATGCACTGAATGAGGGAGGGATCCCATGGAAAAAATAGTATTTGACCATGTAATAAAAGACTGCATCATACATAACCCATACACAGAAAGAGTAATTTCTAACATGATTGATTGACTTTGCAACCTTAACTTTTAATTTAATGTGTGTGTAATTTCCTAGGCTTTTAAAAAAGCAAAGTGTAAAAGAAATGTCATCATGTAGCATCACATTGATAGCCACATATTTCATCAGCTTTAAACTTTTAGATCCACCGCACAGACCTCTAGCACTTGAGCTAATGATAGCAGTAATAGGTTGTCATTCTCTATGTCGACAAGCACTAGGGCGATGAGATATTTTGCCAGTGGGTTTCACAGATTTTGCTGACAGCAGACAAATGAAGAATCTCTGGAATTTTGGGTCCAAGTCCAGGTTCTGTAGGAGTGTGCTTTAATGGTCACAAACTATTGTCCAATCCCTCCGGCTCCAAGCATGACCCCTTCCACTCTGTCCCCTCCAACCTATCCTTGTCCCCATCCTGTCTCCTAACCTCAGGCTCCTCTTCATTCTTCTCCCCAACCCACTGGCTCCCAGTCTCTCCCTCCCTCCCCCCAATATTTCAGTCAGTCTCCCCCCTCATCCCCACAGGCTCCTTATTCCAAACTACTCTCTTCTCTGTTCCCCAGGACTGGCTCTTGTCCCTCAGCTGAATTTGGGTCAGACTGTTTCCTTCTCCATGCTGCTTGGGAGACAGAAAAAGGAGTACTTGGAGCACAGGACAGTCTCCCTGCTCTCAGTTCTGGTGCTCAGAGGCCCCTGGCAGCAGCCATTGCACGCAAAGTCCTGCTCAGCCCCTACAGTCATGGGCTGGAGTATGCTCAGAAGAGGCAGAACCTTTGGACAAATTTGTGCTCAAAGTAAGCAAGTCTCTACTGAGCACGTGAGAGTCGAGATTTTTCAAAGGTTTTTAAGTTGACCCAATTTGGGCAGTTTTTCTCCAGAGAATCTCCCTTGCCAATTTTCAAATCCCTGCACCAAAGCATGCGTGCAATAGAGCTTATCAATAAAGTAGCTGAAGGGTTTTTAAAATAAAAAAATGGGCAAAACATTTTCATCTACTCTTATTCTCTGAAACAACCACATCATTTTTGCCGAAATTTTCTAAACTAGTTCAGACAGTGGCAGATGCCCAGCATGCAAAATTTCAGCCCAAACAGTTTAAGTTTGGCAAAGTTATAAATCAATGAAAATAGTGTTTTATAATGGGACATACAGGGCAACTTTAAATATCGGCAGCACTACCAGCTCAGTCTAGAATATTTCAGTGTACTATATTAAATTGATACTGACTGTTTTTGAAATAAACAGCTATGCTGAGCTTGAGAAGTAGATAGTGACTAAGGTTGAGAATTTACACCCCTGAAAGTCAAGAAATTCAGAAGTTATATCTCGCATGAATGTAAACCACTAAAGCCACTTTGACAACAACTTGGAGCCAAAATTGCACCAGAATCTCATTACTCTGCTGAATGGTTTTACTGTTTCCTTGTATTCAAATGTTCTCATGGTTTTTTGGCCGAACTGATGCTTTTTGACATGCAATTCCCTATATTTTTGCAGAACACATATTATTTCAAATAAAAATATCCTGAAATAGTCCTCAGCTCAGCAGCTGATCTTTTTTATTCAAATCTCGTATCCTTCCCCTGGTTTCCTCCATGTAACAGCCCTTCCCATACTTACTGGCTGAGTTTTGAAGAAGACAGGCAATTTACCATTGGCCCAGGTAGTTTTAGGAATGATAGTAGAATAGAGACAAATCAGCAGAATAGTCAGAAGTGCATATTTAAAAGCAGCAGCAGAATTTGGAGCCCTCTATCAATAGAGATTGGATTGAGAACGCTGTTTACCTCTGTAATTTCTTTTCCTGATTCAGTACGAGTCTCTCCCAAATACTTATATAGATCGCGAAGCTCTATTTTATGCAAAATTTCTCGTGCCTCAGCCAGCTCTTTATTACTAGAGTACAGAATCTCCAGAAAGATGTTATCTGTCAAAGTTAAATACATTTCATTTACATAGCCATGCATCCAATTGTTACAGCAGAGAGAAGCTGTGCATCTATGCACATATATCTATATAGAAAGCCTAACCCATGTGCCAAGAAATGAAAACACTATTTTCAAAGAGTTACCCAACACACTAACCTAACAATTTCAGTTACTTTCAGAATAGTGTGGGCTGCCACAGGCTTTTCACAATACTATTAGCATCAGATTGAAAGAAGAGGTTTCCTGACTTCCCAACCCCAGGATGGAAAGTTTAACAGCTTCAGCGTTAACAACCTTATGAACGGGTATAGAGAGGGAGAGGTGGGACACAGCCCCTCCCCCCAACAGAGGGGGCAAGGAGAGGCAGCAGAGCCAGAAGGGAAGAGGCGGGGCCAGAGTCTCTCCGCTTCTGGCCACGCTGCTCTCCCACCAGCCTCCGAAGCAGCTGCAACTCCGGGGCTGGCAGGCTGCAGCCCCGCTGCTCAGCCCCACCCCCCAGAGAAGGCTGTGGCTGCGCCACCCAGGCACCGGAGCACGCTGCGGCCGTGCCGCCCGGCCCAGCCCACTGGAACATGCTGCAGCCGCGCTGCCTGGTCTGGCCTGCCGGAACAGGCTGCAACCGCGCTGCCCACCCTGCCGGAGCAGCTCCAGCCAGGCCAGACACATCCTCCCCTGGCCATCCCCAGCTTCTCCCCCCAAAAAAATTTCCCCACCAGTTGCTGTCCCGGCCTGTCAGGGTAAGCAGCTGGCGGGTCGGCTTATAAACCAACTGGCTTATGATCGAGTATATACGGTAGTTTTATTATATACACAGATACAACGTTTCTGACCATGGATGCTGGCAACCAAACTCCATTTCTAACCCCCCAAACAGCAAACTGCACACTACTGCAAACAGTGCTGGATACATTTTTACCTGAGACATGCTTTCCAAACAGCAGGGGAATAACTGGTTCTTTGATATGCATTGTCTATATGTATAACGTATTCCCCCCCGCCCCCACTGCTGGTAAGAATGCGTCCCGCAGACTTGTGCTTGGATTCTTTCAGGTAGCAGTGTCTGCGTGGGGCTGTGCCTGTACCATGCGAATCCTAAAGGGTGGGTGACCCCAACCATTCCCTCAGTTCCTTTGCTAATACAAAATCCTGCTCCTACCCGACAGGAAGTACAGTATCAGGAAAAGGAGGGTAGGTCGTGGAATATATGGACAATACATCTCAAAAAACCACAACTGCTGTAAGGTAAGTAACCATTTCTTCTTCAAGTGCTTGTCCATACAGATTCCGCTGTTTGATTCACAAGCAGTGACCCAGATCACAGGATGTGGATGCTAGGAGTCTATTTGTAATACAGCTGTAGTAAAGTGAGCATCAGATCTTGATGATTCTGCTATGGAGTAATGTTGCATAAATGTATGCACAGAATTCCACCACCGGAACACTTCTCAAAGAAGCTGCTTGAGCCCTGGTGGAGTGGACTGTAGTCCTCAATGGTGGGTCTAAATAAGCTATTTCATAGCATAATTTAATGCAAGTAAAAATCCAATTCTGTCATCTCTGAATATATATAGCCTGATGTGCAAAAGCTACAATTAACCGAGGTGAAGCCACGAATGGCTTAGTCCTATCGAGATGTATTGTGGGTGCTATCCTACTTAAGGTATGAAGTTTAGCTTTTCCCTTGTTGGAATGTGGCTTGAGGAAAGAACACAGGCAGGTGTATTAGTTGATTCAGATGGCAGTCAGAAACAACCTTTGGTAAAAATGTTGGGTGAGCCCCCCTGTCCTTAAGAAATATTGTGTATGGGGGGGCCCACCATGAGTGCTTGTAATCTCCCACCCTTCTAGCTGATGTTACTGCCACTAGGAAGGCTAGTGACAAGTGGAAGAGGAAACACAGCCAGGGGCTCAAAGGATGCATTAAACCCATCGATAGGTTGAGATCCCAAGGAGGGAGAGACTTCCTGAATAGTGGAATATATGCACATAAGTGCCTAGCTACTGCGGGGTGTGAGAATGTTGAGTGACCCTGCATGGGAGGACGGGAAGCTAAAATGGCTGCTATGTGGATCTTAAGGGAACTTCTAGACAATCTTGAATTCCTCAAGGACAGGAGGTATTCCAGTATATCAGGTATCTGAGCTTGAGATGAAGGTAACTGATGATGAGTCCAACAGTGAAGCTTGGCTTCTGTTGTCAGTTGGCCTGCGTGTGTGTGCTCTCTCCGTATGCTATACCAACCCTGCACAGATAGCTGGCCCAGCAGACCTCGACAGCACTTCTAAGCCCACAGACACTCAGTTCGGTGATCAAGGAGCTCAGGCAGGTTTATTGCCCTCAAGACACAATACTAGCGCCCGGCAGACTCTACGGGGACACTAACACATGAGTGCCCAGTGGCAAGGACTCAGCTGTCAGCAACAGGACTTTCCACTGCCCCCTAGGCCAGACAAAGACGCCCCTCCTATGATTTCTCTTTTATACACTGATACAAACAAGTTACGTATTACTCCTCTGATGTGGTTAGTTACCACCCTACACTTTGTACCTGTTGGTTCAAACAAAACATCTCCATTCATTATTCATGTTAAGTATTCTCACACCTCTTGTCAAACTAACTGTAATGGGCTATCTTGATTATCACTACAAAAGTTTTTTCTCTTAATTAATTAGCCTCTTAGAGTTGGTAGAACAACTCCCTCCTTTTCATGTTCTCTGTATGTGTATATATATCTCCTTACTATATGTTCCATTCTATGCATCCGATGAAGTGGGCTGTAGCTCAAATAAATTTGTTAGTCTCTAAGGTGCCACAAGTACTCCTATTCATTACCCTGTCATCCTGACCTTATCTTTAGGAGGGGTCAACTGTGTACCATCTTCGGGGAATGTGTTTATACCACAACTTTATATCGGGATGTGCTTGTATTAGCCTTCTGGGATGTATTTATGTGAATACCTAGTGCCCAGTACTTCTTAGGAATGCCTGTGTTTTAGCAACGCCAGCCATATTCTTGCAAAGTTCATGTACTGGACAGCAAACTTTTAAGCAGGCATTTGCTTTGTAACAGGGCCTGACTCTTGCTGATTTTGGTTCTTGCACCAGGCCCCGTATTCCAGGCTCTCTTTCTACTACAGCTTCCATTTGGCTGAGTAAGCATGCCTCGTTGAGTCTTCTCTGCTGTGGTTAAGAATATGTTGTACTTCTGACGAGCAGCTCCTCTCTACTGCTATTAGCCAACCAGCATCCATGCTGTGAGGTAAAGGGAAGTTTGATCCAGATGGAGGATCTGCCCCTCCCTTTGCAATATCACTTATGGCTGAAGAGGTAACTGGACTGGAGGTCAAATGGAGAGATTCACGAAGTCTAAGAAACAGAACTGCTTCAAGCCAGATGCCAGCATGGTCATCTTGGTGGAATCCTGTCTCAATTTCCCAAAGACTCCTGGGATTAGTGGAATTGAAGGGTATGCATACATTAGATCCAGAGCATCCGACAGAGATCCCTGATCCTGGCCTCCTCTGGAGCAGAACTTGTGATTTTTTTTTGTTCTGTTGCATATAGATCTATAGCAGGTAGACCTCACCTGGTGAATGTGTCCTGAATGATCACATGCTACAATGACCATTCATGGTTGCTTGAAAACTGTCTGCTGAGGTGATCTGCCAGAACATCCTGCCAGTCTGCTAAAAGCACTATGGGAGTAATCTCATGTCACAGGCATCAATTCCAAAGGTAATTTGCTTCTCGACAAAGAGGGGTGAATCCTGCTCCTCCTTGCCTACTGATATGAAACACTGCTGTAGTGTTGTCAGTCATGATCAGAAAAGTTAAACCTCTCAGAGCTGGTAGGAATGCTGTACAAGCTCGATGAACAGCCCTTAGCACTAGGATGTTTATATGTAACTAGGCTTCCTGAAATCAAACCTGGTGTCAGAAGATTGCATAGGTGGCTCCCCATCCAGCCTGGAGGCATCTGTTACCAGAGTCTTCTATGGCAATGGTGCAGAGAAGGACACTCCCTTACATACTTTTAGAGGATCCTTCCACCAATTCAATGACAGAACTTCTGGAAGGACCTGTACCCGTCATCTTTAGGTGTCTGTCAATAACCCTTATATGCATCAAAGGTGAAGTGTGGCATGCTGAGTTATGTAGATGAAGGAAACCATGTGCTCCAGAAGTCTGAGACGTTCTTACAGACATCTGAGGTACTTGTAGGTGGTTGACCAGATTTATTATGGCTTAGAGTCTGCCCTAGGGCAGACAGACCATTGCTGTAATAGATTTCAGAACTACACCTATAAATTCTATCTTTCGAGCAGAAATTAACACTGACTTCTTGCTGACACTGTGTCCTCAGGAGGCAAAAAGACAAAGAGTCGGCTGTATGGAGTTGGTCACCTCTTGCAGAGACTTTCCCCAAGTAAGCCAGTTGTCTAGACAGGGGCAAACCTGGACTTCTCAATTCATCAGGTAAGCTACCACTGTCACAAGGCGTTTGATAAATACCCTGGGCACTGTGGATAGACCACATAGCAGGATTCTGTACTAGTAGCACGAATTGCCCACCTGGAACCTTAGTTATTTCCTGTGGTCAGGTGGATTGCTATATGAAAGTCAGTATTCAGGAGGTCAAGAGCTGTGTACAAGTCCTGTGGATCAAGAGAGGGAATTATAGAGGCCAGGGTAACCATCCTGAGCTTGAATCTGAATGAAGGTGTTCAGGATTCTCAAGTCCAGAATAGGGCAACATCCCCCTTTTTTCCTTAGATAAAGTAATGGGAATAAAAATTCTTCCCCTTGTACTCTTCAGCTACTACTTCTACTGCTCAGAGATTTAGAAGTGACTGCACTTCTTGATGCAGCATATTCTCAGAGGGATCCCTGAAAAGGGATAAGGAAGGTGGGTGAGTGATGGGGAGAGTCTGGAATTAGATGGCATATCTCATCTCTATGATTTCTAGGACACAGCGGTCCATAATGATGGTGTTCCAG